TATCTATAGACTATATCTATATAGTGTATCTATATCTATAGAGTGTATCTATATCTATAGACTGTATCTATATAGAGTGTATCTATATCTATAGACTGTATCTATATAGAGTGTATCTATATCTATAGACTGTATCTATATAGTATATCTATATCTATAGACTGTATCTATATCTATAGACTGTATCTATATAGAGTGTATCTATATTATACACTCCTGATTGTATAGCATTGCATATACCAAATATGCTATGTATACGGAACATCATATTACAGAACGCAAGTTAAGCCACGCATTTTCTTTTGGTACACGTATGATAAATTAAAACTGCAAGAGGAACTACCGCTCATACACAGTCAGATATATCACACATTTCTCTGTGTTATGGGTGGCGTACATTGTACGGCATCACGTATATATCAAATATGCTATTCGTACGTATATGGTACATCATATATTATAGAACAGCTATTATATTTATTATTATTATTAATCAAATTATCAAAATTATCAAATTAAATTATCAAATAATCAAATTATCAAATAATTATTATTTCATACATTATAAGTTATACTCTATTGGTACCGTGTATGGTGCATTCTACAGCATATCAGATATACTAGATCTTTCTTCGATATATGCGAATCCTACATCATACAGCATCATATATGCCAAGTAATATATTAGCACGTGAACCATACATTATGCACTGATACCGCTCATGTTGTATCGCGCCTTTAATATTGGTAAACGCGCGCGCGCGCTGTATGTCTTACATTAACTACGTGACGAATTTCCTATGGTAAATTTTGTAAAATCTTTGTTGCCATTTTTTTACATTAAAAGTAAGAACTAACGGGACTAAACGTATCGTCAAATTCTTACCTGGCAAGATTGTTTCTCAACTAGTCAAAAATCCAAAAAACCTGGACGATTTGATATTATGTTCCCGACATTAATTGCTTGCTATGGGATATGTATGAGTCACGAGTGTATGTTCACATCGAACAATATAGTAAAACAGGAAGTATAATGCAGCAATTTAACCATAAAAGGTGAACAGAATTACTTATATTTTGTGAAAAAGTGGAAATATTTTTTTAATTTTTACTATTTACGGTGACGTGATCACTTTAATCTGTGCGGCATCACGCGTCGAACATTCCGTGCGTGCGTGCGCGCATCATGCATCGTGACACCTATATCGCATAATCCATCTACGCCCAATCAAAATATTGCTCTCCGGCTCGTGAATCTACATCGCTCCATCATCGGGTGTTCGGGAAATTAGAGGAGAATCTACACGCTGACGAGAGGCGACCGGTCCGCCATTATTCGCCGCCAGAAGACTCCGCTAATCTCTCGCAACACGACTGATTAACTATTGACGCGCGATATTTAAATGATTAATTTTTGCGAGGGGCGCGCGGTCGGTGGGTGGGTCGATCGATCATTCACTAATTAATATGAGAGGAAGAGAGAGAGAGAGAGAGAGAGAGAGAGAGAGAGAGAGAGAGAGAGAGAGAGAGAGAGAGAGAGAGAGAGAGAGAGAGAGAGAGAGAGAGAGAGAGAGAGAGAGAGAGAGAGAGAGAGAGAGAGAGAGAGAGAGAGAGAGAGAGAGAGAGAGAGAGAGAGAGAGAGAGAGAAAGATAGAAAGAGAACGAGTGAGTGAGAGAGAGAGAGAGAGAGAGAGAGCATATACTTACTCGTCATTAGTCCGGTCCACCACAGCCATTCTTTGAGATACGCGTAGCCGCCCTGACCTAGAAAACAAAACATAACTCAGCATCGTCGCCACGGCAACGCTATCGAAAGAAGCATTCATCTTCGATAAAAGATAAAACTCGTTGTTGTCACGGCAACATGGCCGAATGAAATATGCACCGCATTAGTTTCCGTAAAGTAGTAAAATCAACATTTTCTTCGCAGAAAAACAGACGTTTCTGTACTAATTAAGTCTGTCGAGAAAATTCAACGACGGTACTAATGCATCGTCGAATACATTTATCGGATTTCACGAAGGATTTATATCTTTTGGTTACATCTTTCGGATATATATTCTTCATTTATATCTTATATTACTTCTTTATATATCCATACGGCTTCTATCTTGTGATAAATCATCGGATTCGCCGTAAAACGAACGTCGCACGCAGACGTTAAAACTCGACGGAGCCCGTCCACTACACTCGACTCGTGCGGCTTTTTTTTACGTTCACTCATGAATCATGAATCAAATTACGTTCAACTCGCATCGTGAAACGCGAAAAACGCGCGCGCTTTCCCGGCCGTCGAGCCATCGTGAATAATGTAAGACGCAGCCGCCGCGACGAGTCGTCGTGAATTCTTTCGGCCGTGGAATTCCTCGGCGAATGCGATCGCTCGCGAAACGAGATCCGCGCGACATTCGCGACGAGCGAACGAAGCGTTTGTACGCTGAGCGCCCCCTGGTGCCGGGTCGCCAATGCAAAGGTGCCCAAGCGCGAATGCACAGCGAACCGGAAACAATTACGCGGCGAGTCAATTAATGCGCGCTCGATCGTTAGCGTCATTATATCATCGTCATCGATCACGATCAGTTGCCCACTGATTTCGTTTTACACAAAGAGTCACGGTAGCTTGGGCATGGTCTGTTATCTATCGCCTAAGCAGCGTGTGATTGCCGGTTGATCGATTGACCGCGGCGAAAACTTTCGTAATTGGCCACTAGAGGGACCCACCTGCCCGTGTGCCTGACACTCGCAGTAGGCCCTTCTTCTTGATGATGAAGCTTGACCCTACAATGCATCACACGAAAAGTTAGCAATGGTGAAAACACTGGGGGGATGTCAATTGAATATCGGGATGAAAAATTTTAACTACTATAATAACTCAAAACAAAGTCACCCTCAATAAGATTTTTCTTCGAATATAGATTTTGGTAGGTAGGTAAATAATTTTCATTTCCTATAAACTTATAATTATGAAGTCTTAAACAGATGTATAAATTTTCTACTTTGTCATAGAAATGCTGCATCAGTACCACCATTGTTTAACTATTAGCAAACCAGCCTACACATTTACTCTGCAAAAAACCGATTACTCGAAAACATGCAAGAAAAACGGTCGTTTTCGGCAAGAGTAATTCGAATATTTTCATACTTCCATCTGTCAAACCATCGAATCGAGACAATTTTACTGAATTCTAGGGAAAACAGTACGTGGGAACGCACGCACTAAAAAGCTCAAAATCTTGGAACGTCGACGTTTCACGTTTCATGTGGTTATAGCAATGTCACAGTGTCGTTTGACGTGCCCCTCACTTATGAAAGCGCATATCATGGCACGCATGTTACGTGGTTAACAATGTTACAGCGTTGCTCATCCCTTACCCTCACCTATAAACACACCTATTTATTGTCCCTCACCTATAAACACACCTATTTATTGTCCCTCACCTATAAACACACCTATTTATTGTCCCTCACCTATAAACACACCTATATATTGTCCCTCACCTATGAATGCAACATGCGTACCATGATATGTCAGCTCGAGAACGTGGTTAACAATGTTACAGCGTTGCTCATCCCTTACCCTCACCTATAAACACACCTATTTACTGCCCCTCACCTATGAACACACCTATTTATTGTCCCTCACCTATGAACACACCTATTTATTGTCCCTCACCTATAAACACACCTATTTATTGTCCCTCACCTATAAACACACCTATTTATTGTCCCTCACCTATAAACACACCTATTTATTGTCCCTCATCTATAAACACACCTATTTATTGTCCCTCACCTATAAACACACCTATTTATTGTCCCTCATCTATGAACACGCTCGAGCTGACATATCATGGTACGCATGTTACGTGGTTAACATTGTTACAGTGTCGCTCATCCCTTACCCTCACCTATAAACACACCTATATATTGTCCCTCACCTATAAACACACCTATATATTGTCCCTCACCTATAAACACGCTCGAGCTGACATATCATGGTACGCATGTTACGTGGTT